ACGGTAATGTAAATGTTTACAATATAAATTTAATCACTATACGTATACTATAAATATACGATAATTTCAATATTTAAGTATTTTCTAACAAACCACAGCACAACATCAAATTACAATTAATCCGTTGATTGGGAGGTACATGTAATAAGTCTACACAGAAGTTTATGCCCTGGTCCGCAAGATTTATTGATTTGTTTATTTTTGATATACATGTATATATTTTACTGTTTATTTTTAAAAACTCATATTTTTTCAAATCAATTCAATAAAATATCAACAAAGGTTTCTTAAAGAACTTTTCATTAACATGAATAAGTCTCCCAATTATGGCTTCTCGTAATTAACTCCTCATAGTCACCACCCCATACGACACGCGCTCGAGACTCTAAAGGATGCACCGCATCTTCTTGTTTGTTTAATGATTAGCACTTATGATCAAGTTACTAATGGATTATTTTTCTTTAACTACCGTCAATTTGACGTCTTGGAAGATTGCAAATGTATCAAATTAATTTTCTTTTGCATTTCATAGATATATAACAGCATAAATAATAAAAACTATTCAATTAAAATCTTATATTTCTGTTTGGGCCGAGGTGTCTTTTATGTGAGCCGAGGTGTCTGCAAATTTGGGCCGAGCCGTCGGAGCCGAGGTGTCAATGGGCCGAGGTATCGTTGGGCCGAGGTGTCGTTGGGCCGAGCAGTCTGACATTCATGATAGAACACGATAGAAATGTAAAGAATAACGATGCGGGTACTGTACTACACCCGGGGGTCATGATTTGAAAAAAACCTAAATCTACAGTACCTAAGGATACTACCATATAAATATGATCATTCATGCCTTTGCTATTCTTGAAAAGAAGATTTTTAACTCTTTACAACTTACAGAATAACTATATAACATACATTGAATCCTCGTGTCATAGAAAGATTACTTTACCATTTCCCCGCAAGCACTTCATAGTGGGGTTCAAATTTTTCTAAAGTTTGGCGTAAATAATATTCTGAAATAATATTTTAACTAGAAAATAACTTTTCTTATTTTATGAGATTCAAGCAAGTATAAAAAAGTTAGAATTTGGCAATAAATTAAAGATTAAATGAACTTTTTAAAGAACGTGAAAATGCGTGATTGCGGGGAAACAAACTTGATTTCCCCTTTACCAAAGGATACTTTGTGTCAAGTTTGGTAGAAATTGACCCAGTGGTTCTTGAGAAGAAGATGAAAATGTGAAAAGTTAAGAACATCGACGACGACAATGACGACGACAGACAACGGACAAATTTTGATAAGAGAAACTCACTTGAGCCTTCAGCCAAGGTGAGCTTAAAAAAAATATGTTTGATTCTTTAAATATTTTTTTACAAGATCAGTACAGTTCTTCCCCAGGCCACAAGATTAGTAGTAAAATTTCATTACAAAAGGTCAAAGGCTAGATATCGTGGGCAAACGAAAGTATTTCATATAGACAGTAAGACAGCTAGACAGACAGTCAAACCTAAAATCTCACTTTCAGTAAAAGATTTGGGCAATTATAATTGGTCTGATATAGATTTAACAAGTTAAAAATGTGGCATATTATTTGCCCGAAAACTTTTTAACCGGCTTTCCATCCTCACTGATGGCCTGTGTTGCATTGAGGGCTATGCATTCAGCAAGCCCCGTAAAAAATCAAATCAACAGATTTGTCAAATGATTTGAAGAATGCATTTTACATTTCTGATAAATCTGCATTTCTGTTGTATTACATTTAGCATGAAATAACATTTGCTGAATTCAAAGAAATCTGGGTCTTTTTTTTTTTTTTTGTTTATAATTTAAAAAAAGCCTAGAAATACTTTAAAATACCTCATACCTATTTGTACTAGCATTCCAATAACAGTCTGTCAGTTTGCTTGATCGACCTTTTAGTAAGTATATTTCCCTAGTTGAATACACAGACAAATACATTGCATTTCTTTTACCTAAGTAAACAATCATTCAGTTTGTTTGGTAGGGTTGGTTTTTTACCTTCGCTGGTACATTGTACATGTATTTGTTCATCCTGTGTTTTTATTATAAAAAAAAGTGTATGTGTTTAATCCATCCAGCAAATCAAGCAAGAAATAAACAACAACGTTAAAACGTTCTCTGGGGAAAGAAGTGGTTAGTGCGTGACCAAATAATCCTTGGTAGACAGGTACTAGTACTAAGTAAACCTAGTTCATTTATAAATGAATTTTATAAAATTGTTGTTCATTACGTTGTTTATTATGTTGTTTGTTACATTTATTTACATTGATACGAATATTACAAGTAAACTGAATGAACATGTATTACTCAAACGGGCCGTCGGATTGCTATGATGTGATGCGTTGAGTTATCTTGAAAGTTCATGAATTTGTATGTCTACATTAATGTTCTTTGTTATTTGTTTACAATGAAAGAAGAATGATTGATACCGAGAATAATCTTATTATTTTATGCGATCTTTGTTAAGTCAAAAGCAATGGTATCCCCTGTTTTAGTTTAATTAACTTTAAAGATGGTAAATGCCTGCAATAATTCTTTCATCAATTTACAAGTAAGATATAATCTAAAAGGAGAAGCAAGCGAAAACATTCTTAATCGGTTACCTCCTCCCCTTTCGGCAATTTAAATTGATGATTCATGCTTAAAAGAAATAACATGTGTATAAATCCCAGATGCTTTTTTGAAAAATCAGAATAGATAGAAATCTATCGGAACATACGTATAAACATGCATGCAGAGGTTCTATCTTATAGTCCTTTCAAGAAGAGCCATAATTGGACTTTTACGAGAAGGTCAGGCTTTTACAGTTGACGGCTTACTTGTACACTAGGACAAAGTGTGGAAGCTATTTAACGATATTAATATTTAGTTCGACATTTTATTCAACAAAAATAACGACTTTTTTTAAATGCACATGAATTTGTACAAGTTGTCTTTGAAGGAAACGACAACAAACCTACCCTACACTACCGGCCCGAGTGCCCCTAACATTTCCAAGGCATTGTCAATATACATTATATTATCAGTTATGTACCCCCGTATATGACACAGGTTTAAATGTCCAAGTTAACAGTCAACTATTAAAGTCAGTGCTTCTTGTAAAAGTTAACTGATCATGACAATGAGCACATGTGACCGTTCAGTAGGGGATGCTCACTCCCCCATGCAACGTGGTCCACCCTGATGTTTCGGAGGTCCGTGTTTGCTCTGCTCTTGTTTTGTTTTATGGACTTTGAGATTGAATACTGTTCGTTATCTCCAAATCCTTCTGTTCAATGGACATACAAGTAACAGTCTTTTCTGCTTATTGGTGATGTCATATACTGACTGTATCCCAAATTTATAGGTTTATCTGTAAAGTCCCTTGTCTCTTTGTGGACTCTTTTTTATTACGTGATATGTATGAAATAAACCCTTTCACCTTCTTATGCTGCTGAGGATGAAACTTAAAAAAAAACTTTTTTTTTATAGGCCGTTTAAACGCCTTTTAACGAATCAAGGTGTTCAGTGGGCGGAGCGTTCAAGGAATGTTATTCGCAGTGTAGCTATGACGTCAAAACATTTCGGATTGCGATGTCAAAATCATACTCAAACTGTAGCAAAATGGAGACAAGGATAATTCTTTGAAATGTCAATGAAAATATTTCATTGTTTTAGGACTTGATACATTCCTTATAACACAATGTGTTAAACCACATGCTATGATGTTGATTGACACATCCTTGCACTTTCACAAATTTTAATTTTGTTCTTTATCCTTAGGAAAAGTTGCAATCTTGTTGTGTGTTAATGAAAATATTAATACTATAATCCAGAAAAATCAAAGTGGACATGATTGAAAGCAAAACAAACACTCAATTTATTGTCAGTCTGTGCAGATGTGGTGAACAGACTTTGGCTATTTAACGCACCCGGTGAATCGTAAACAAAAAACAATAACAGAGATCTTGCCCTGTTTACAAAAACTTGTTTATTTAAAAATATGTTCATTACACGAGTGTGGTCGATATGCTAAATCCTGTACACAACGGAATGACGATACTTGTAAAGGAGTTTTGCTTTTTAACATTTCTACTCTGAATAAAATTATTTTTCTGGATTTAAGCTTTAATATTTCGCATCAATACACAACAAGATTGCCAATTTTCCTAAGGATAAAGAATAAAGTTAAAATTTGTGAAAGTGCAAGGATGTGTCAATCAAACCCGCCAAAAACCTTAAAGTTTTAATAACTTTTGAATGAAATAAGATTTTTAATTAATTTTTGTGTGAAATGCTATTAAAATATATAATTCGTGATATTATATAGAAAACATTGACTTCAAATCTGTGTCTAAGTACCTTTAATGTTACTGAATATAATTAGCATGACTTACATGTGTAATAAATGAAATGTTAAAGTTTAGCGACAAAAGTGTCAATTTTAAGATAAAACCGAATCTTACACAAAATGTTAGCTTTATATTTCACAACATGTTGGTTTTAAAAGCATAATAAAATAAATATAAGAGCAGAAATGCACTTGTGCTGATTTCTGATAAGTCACTCTCAGAGTATCCCTTTGTAATTTAAAAGGGGAATCTTTATCTTAGAAATATTTCCAATGATATTCATGTATATGGTAAGCATGTACGTGTTTTTAAAACTGATTTACTTATCCTCAATGTGCTATATGTACATTTGATTTGTTTATGTCTATTAAAATGCTGCAATTTTTTGTTAATACATACAAAGTTTTGCTGAATATTTAATGAAAGTTATAGCGAATGAGGCCTTAAAGGAAGAATGGAGAGCGTTTTGAAAATATTTGTAAGGGTTACCCTTACACACAAATGAGTAAAACATGTTTTACTACGTCATGTAAATCGAAAGTAGAATTTTTCAAGTTGACTATTTTTTAAATAGAAAAGGAGATAAATGCATTATAAAGTAACTATTTTCTTATCTATTTTACTGTTACGATAATTAAAAAAATATTTCTTACCTTTAGTTGCCTTAAAGGTGCAAATCAGAACGGTAGACCACACCTGGAAATGCTTCAAGTCACACAAAGATGATTTTGTTCCGGTGTAGCTTAGACTTTAAACCCATGTTAAAATTGTCCCGATGTTTATCGGAAATGCATTTACACTGTTATAAAGTGCGTATAGTGAAAATATTGCTTTCGGACACCAGCTACTATTGGTAGCGAAGCAGTTCATGTCAACTAAGCGATAAGAAATGATACAAAGCTTCAAGCTTGCTTAAGACGTAATTATTAATGTTCAGTTTGATGTAATTTAGTGGAATTACTTATTAGTTGAAAACATGTAAGTAACAATCCAGTAAATGCTTCAGGTCACACCCGTTTAATGTATTTACTGGATGTATTTATATTTTCTTTTTACGTGTTCAACAAGATTTACACTACATTATTTGTGTTAACATTGATAAGACAGGCTTTCAATTCCAGCTTTTTTCCTTTTTCTAATTTTTTTAAAATTCATTTTCCGATATAAATCTTCAGCCCCGTGGAGTTCTGTTAAGCTGAGGTACTATGTGTTTTAATTTTATGTACAACTGTAAAGAGGGAAAGTTTTAATTCGTTTTATTTTCGCCCCTTTCCCCTCGTCGGAAGTGCGCAAATTCAAAATTTGGCGAATTCAATGTAGATAGTATAAAATATTGAACAAAAATCTTTCTGTAAGAATTTGAAACGAGGCAAGCTTGTTTGCAAATGTGAAAGGACGAAAACAACAATTTCAATAATTATATATTCTATGAAATAAATCTTGTAATCCATCGAAATCATTCGGAATAAAATAATTTTAAATTGTGCACTTTCCGACTTATCGCATATTACTTTGCAGTGAAAGCATCGAAGAAAAAGAAGAAAAAATCCATTTAATTTTATTTTTCAATAGAATAGATCAACAACACAGTATTGGCAGTCTTTGTCATGGCTTTACTTTAATAATACATGTTGAAATAAAATTTGACAAACACTATATCAAATCAGTATATCATTGCATTATGTTATATGTGTGATCTACATCGACTTTGGTTAGTTATGATGTAAAATCAACACTCAATAAAATTTTCAATCAGTCAATATTTTGAAAAATCAATACTTCAATCAAACAACACAAGAAACAACATATCAATCAACATTTTCAATCAGTCAATATGACAATCAATCAGTTCATCAATGTTTTCAAGCACTCAATGTATTCCATAAAAGTGTCAATTAAGATAAGCCCAATTACTGGCCATAGACCTGGAAGAAAACAGAATCAGTGGCAGGCTTAAGCAAAGTTCGGCCATATGTCTTCATGTATGATAAGTAGATTAATATAATACATGAAGACATCCTCTACAAGCGGACAAAAGTTTGCCCTAGTGCCATGACAGGGAGACTGTTTTTACGTACATTGCTGTAGACCTGAAAAACTGGTATTCAGTTAGAATACGGCATGTTACAGGTATGATGATAACCATTATAATCTAATGTAAGAATTGAATACATTAGACCTCCACCTACCTTTGGACTTAATGTCCTCATCAGAAACATCTTGTGAATATAAATGAGTAGCCCCACCTACTCTGAATGAGTGTGATTTGAATATAGATGTGTCTAAACCGATGAATTTCACGGCTTTGTGTAGGAGTGATGTGAACTGATATTTGGTGAGAGGTTTAGCGTTGATATGGCAGAAAAATGGGCCTTGTATTTGGGGTCGGATTGACAAAAAATTGTGTGCATGCTCAAATAAAGATGCACTTTGAGGACTGTATGTAATTTGTAATGTGGTAACCCTACGATATTGATCAGTTTTTGAACCTTTGATAAACAAAGAAATTTTTTCTTGATCAATGGTGAAGTCTTGGAAAGATAGTACTGGTGTAAAGTTACTGGTGAAAGCAAATTCACTAATACGCAGCAGTGCAAAAAATGCTAAATAAAAAAAGTTGAAAACATTGCGGCTTCATAGGTGTTTAAACAAACTCTTTGTAGAATTGTTACCATTTGATGCAACATTCGTAGGGAAATTGGGGATCTAGGTCTTTTGCTGGATTTAGCCATCGGAAGCCTTCCAACATTTTCTTAACTATAAAGGCTTTAGTGTTGTCCAACCCCCCCCCCCCCCAACCCCCCCTATAACTGGATTTTGTAACTGATATCACTTAAGTAACATCTTGCTGTGGCATGTGATACATGGTTTGTATGGAGGTATGCAATGTAATTAATAATCTGATGGACTGGTGGAGGCCAAGTCAAGGCAAACTTGTATTTAGAGCGGAAGGTTTCAAAAGAGTTAATGCCCTTTTGATATGTTGAAGCAGTATTTTTAGATACTGCTGCTTCGAGCAAACTTTCTACATGTTGTTTAAGAGAATTGTCAATGCCGGAGGTATACTGACTCGAATTTTGTCTGCCTGAGGAGCCAAGGTTCTGAATCTTTCCCACTGAAATGGAGAAATTGAATCCGCGATAGAGTTTTGATAACCTGGAATATGGATAGTTTTAATCTGAATGTTATGCCTAATGCAACGCAATATCAATGGCCTTAAAAGTGTCATGACCCTTTGAGACTTGCTTGTTTGGGAATAAAGAATATAAACCAAAGCAAAGTTGTCGGTATTTATCAATAATTTCTTTGCTGCAAAATAATCCGCCAAAACCCAAATGGCCAACAGAATCGGTACTAGATCTAAAAAGGTGATATCTCTTCGAATATCTGGGCCCTATGATTCTGGCCAGGAAATAACTGCCCAGTGATTCTGAAAAATTACACCTCCCCCGTAGGAACCGCAACTATCGGTGAAAAGGTTAAGGGACTCGTTACTTGACCAGGATAGTTCAGGGAATGGAGAGCGCCCATTGTAGCCTTTAAGAAATGTTAGCCAAACTTTAGCGTCATCCTTAACGGCTTGGGTAACCTTTATCAAAAAGTAATGTTTCTTAATGCCAATTGTTGCATTGTAAGACCTGCGATTAAATGCTCTGCTACTTGGGATGGCTTTTCCAAAAAAGTTTAGGGACCCACAGAGTGATTCCACTTCCTTGAGTGTTACGTTTTTGGATGAAAGCAGTGAGGTAAGCTTATACTGTAGTTCTATAACTTTGTTGTCAGGAATAAAGATTACCCGTTCTACTGTGTCAATCTTCAACCCTAGGAAACTTAATCTTGTACAGGGACCCTCGTTTTTTTTATCATTTATTCGGACACCTAGTTCGCCACAGGTTAGCTTAAATGTTTCAGCGAGTTGAGAACATTGTGGAGTATTTTGACTCCCCGCAAATAAGAAATCATCTAGGTAATGAATGATGTTTTGATTTCTGACTTTTTGTGCTACTAACCAGTGCAGGAATGATGAGAGTTTTTCAAATGTTGAACAAGCTATGGAACAACCAAATGGCATGCACATATCATAATAATATTTGTCTTGAATACACATACCTAATAAGGAAAAATCTGTAGGGTGGATTGGTAATAATCTAAATGCACTGGACAAATCCATCTTACAGAGTAATGCCCCTTTCCCATTTTTTTGAATCATGGAAATTGCCCGGTCGAAAGAGCTGTAGAAGACTGAACATAAAATTGGGTCAATTTGTTCATTGATACTACCGATTGGTGCTGATAGGTCTGAAATCAACCTCCATCCCCCCATCTTTTTAGGCAACACTCCAACCGGGTTGCACCTAAGGTTGGAGAAGGGGGGGGGGGTAGGGAAAGGGCCTGCCATGCGACCTAAGCTTATTTCTTTTTTAATAATTGACAATAATTCTTCCACATGTTCCTTAGCAGACTTCATGTTTTTTGGCTGTAAATAGTCTCGAGGGCCTGCATAATTCAGATGAAAACCAGATGTAAAACCATTGAGTAAAAATGGGGCATCTTGAACTTGAGGGTACAAAGCTAGGTATTTCTGCAGTACTGGGAGCTTAATTGGAGTACATGTAGAACCTAGGCGTGTTAAATCTTGTTGTGGTGACTGGTATTGCCTTGGGCGATAGGGACGAAATTCGAGCAAGATTGTTGAGCATAATTTTGCTGTCCTGCAGTTGGGCGAGTTAGATTTAATCTAGTGTTAAACTGTTGGTAGTTGGTATTAGGCCTTGAAGATTGAGTAAGTGTAGACTGGTAGGCCCAGCAGTGTATACGTGGATGGGTCTTGTTACAGTGCATGCGTGCATGTTGATAAAACACTGTGATTTGGAGCATGAGCCTTTGAGATTGTAATCAAAGCATTTAAGTGATGATTTTGGTTGTGGGGCATTGAGGCTAGGTTGGGCCTGCATGTATATTAGCCACAACTCTGCGTCGACTAAGCCAAAAGAAAGTGATGTATTTTTGGACATTTTGAGACGGAACTGTCTGTCATATTCAAGCCAATTAGCACTTGTGTTTCGGCTGTAGCCTAGGCGCACTGTGTGTATATATCTCAATATGCCCTGAATATCTGAAGGAATCCTAGCTAGGTTTATACAGTGCTGCTATCCCACAAGTTGACATGGGATAGGATCGGATAGGATTCAGGATTGAGGATTCACGATATAGAAACATATAGAAGTTAATCCAATCCTATCCTATCCTATCCTATCCTGTATCCTACAGCCAATCAGATTCGAGCAAAGGTTTATTCATATTTCAGAATAAATTACAAAAACGAAATAGGTATAAAATGTTTACAAAAGAAATATTTATATATTTTTTAAAAGAAAATATAACATTTTTTTCTCTAAACACATATTTACATTATAAACTTCGAGTAACACGGCGTACGATCTAACCGTGAACGATCACCGGAAGAATTGGGAACGTAAACAACGAAGAGTCCAGGCATCGAAAGACCGTATTTCTTCAGCTTGTTTGGATGATTTAACCGATTCTTACTTGTGTAAAAGTGTATTAACATGTTTTTCTGTTAAATATGCTCTGTTTGTTTGGATAATTCCACAGGAACCGTCAGCAGCGGACTTGAATAGATGATGTGCGATATCATGTAAGTATACTTCACACTGTACACAGTGCATGTGTGCATTTTTATACATATTTATCACTTTAAACAATTTTCTCACGTCTTAAAATATAAACATTTTATTTTATTTATTTATATAAACAAAAATCGGATGCGGGAAAAAGAAGTAGTGTAGACAGAAGCGCGGGGGGGGGGGGGGGGGGGCTGTAATATTTACAAATTCTCTTATATGATTCAATCAGCTATCAATGAGCTCTAAGACTAAAACAATCATATGTATTATGCCTAAATCATGTTGTTACTCTTATCATTTCCCTAATAAGGTCAGAAAATAGTTGTTTTTTTTATTTCTGTGTAATGAATGTAAAATCATCATGACCATTTCTAATGCTTCTGCTTAAATGTTTAATGAGCCCACTAAGCAGTGCAAATACATATTGTACATGTATGTTTGATGTATTGTGAGTTATGAAACATAAGTTAATCTTGTCATTTTAATCATTACAGAAAATGGATTGTCTACACTCATGCGTCATCGCAGTACCAGGATTTCAACCTAAAAAGTATGTATGGTTTTATTTTTATCATGTATTTTTACATGGTCATTTAAATACATAAACATCATCATCTGAGTTGACGCGACATGTCTGCAGTTACTCGGAACAAGTGATTTTCTTCTTTCAAAAATATTTAGAGTAAAACTAAAAGAAATGTTGAATTTTTCTGGTGATCATGTTATAGTATCATAGATTTTCATATTCAAATTTCAAGTCCAAAAAAAAAAAAAAACCAAGAAAAAACATTAAATAGATAAATACCAGCAGAAATAGAGAAAAGTCACTAAAACAAATGTATTCATACTTGTTAGCAAGTTGACAAGATAAAGTGAATTAAAATCTACAAGTAAATTATGTTGAATAAGATTTTTTTTCTTTTATATGACTGAGGTTGCAGTATAAGATTTTATTTTTAATGATTTCTATATGCATTACTTTTGGGAGAGAAAAAGGTGAAATTAAAACCAATTATACATGAAATGAGAAAGATAGTCACAATCAAAAACATTTTAAACATGTTAAATTTGTATGAAATGTGTATGACAAAATTTACAATCACCATGTCTATAATTTCATTTTATGTTGTTTTTTTTTCTTCAGGAAACCCTGCACATTTACAGCTGTACAGAATGCAGTTCATGCCATATGCTGTAAGAGTAAATGATAAAAGATGTTCAAACCAGTGTCACGGAGTTCTTAGTCTGAAATCATGGTGCTTTTATTAAGGAGATCATTGTGTTTTCTGTGCATTGTTGACATTTGAAGAACTGTTTGGTTTATGACCATCTCTCTGACATTAACTCTGACATTTGAATTTTAATTTGAGCGACGGTTAAGAAAGCCAAACTATATGCATGTGAAACATTATACAAGTGTAATAAAAACATTGATAAATTTTAATTTAAACAAATTTCATGTACATGTATCTGTGATCTTAGCAGGATTCACGATAGGATAGGATAGAACTGTCAACTTATAGGATAGCAGCACTGTACTAGCGAATATTAAAAAGGCATCAACCCAACTTTGCATTGTAATGATTTTGGTTGTTTTGGTTTTTGGTTCGATGACCAATTGCCCTTCAACAATTGATAATTTATATGTATCTTGATTATCTTTTTCTGAAATAATAATTTTTGCCAAATCAATAAATTGCTTTGACCAAATTTTTTCTTTGATGGCCTGGGGGACATGAACCCCAAGCTCATCTGTAATACTAATTAAAGGGTTTTCACCTGATGTCAAGGATTGCTCCGTTGTAATATCCCCTATAGAAAGTGGATTAGGGGTTGCCACTGAGGATTCGGAGTTCTTGCTAGCTGAATGTGGGACTTCAGGAGGTTGTGGGAGTTCGGGAGGATTAAGGGTTGCCACCGATGAATTAGCAGTCTGGGTGGCTGGCTGTGACACCTGGGTTGCCGTGATCACGGGGGCCGTGTAGCAACCTCTAATGATAAAACGCCGCTTAATGATAGAAATAGCATTACGCGTTGCTATTGCAACGCTTAATGCCATAAATTATTGCATTAATAGCTGACATCATCAACCGCTAATGCTAAATCGCCGCTTAATGACAGAATTATATCATAAAGCGTCACAAATGCAGTGCAACATCGACGCTTAATGAAACAAGCAAATATCGACATATTCGACGCTTAATGATACACACTGGTGTATCATTAACCGTTGCAGTTACAACCCTTAATGATGTAAAATTTAGAAATCGCTTGTTATATCAAAGAGAAACACACATCCACCTTTCTTTAAAATTGACATATCACTTGTCAAAATATTTATATATACTCTTGTGCTATATGAATTGTTATTATTGAAGTTTTACTGTGTTTTCTATCTAGTCAAGGGAACGTCGTTAAGCCCCGGATGTTAAAGAGACAGATAGTTAGATAGTAAGAAGAAAAAGATACAGACAAAGGGATAAATAAAATGATATCCAAGTCCTTTTAAAAAAACAATTTTTTTACTGAAAATACAGAAGCAAACAAGCAATCAAATTCCTTTTAATTTGATAGAATGATTTAAATACTCATCCTAAAATATATAGAATATATTTAAATATTCCAAACTTTTTATTTTAGATTTGATACAGCTTACACTGGCTGCGACGTTATTGTTGGCAACTTACACGAACGATCACGTTACACGAACGATCCCGCACGATTAATGCACGATTAAACCTGTTACACGAACGATCCTTCACGCACACGATTCTACACGTTACACGATCTTACACGATTGTTAACGAAAACGCGCGATTCTTCACTCAAAATCGTTCAAAATATTTAGGAATCGATATTTTCAAAACGAAATACGGCTTAATACTAATTTAAGGTTTGAAAGAATTATCAATATTATTTCATAGACTTTGAAATAAACCCGGAAATGGCTATTTCTGTAACTAGATACATGTAAGACTTAATATCTTAGATTATAAATAATTATTTCAGTAATTATCCGACCTAAGAAAATGGATTTCTTTCGTTCTAGCAGAAGATGCACATGTATGTGGGCCGTATAATTTGATAGAATTGGATTTCATGATATGCAGAAAGGGGGATACGATTATAAAAAGAGGGGCATCATGGAATGACTTAAATTACAAATTATTCCGTATGTTTCCATTGATTCAATGTTTGTGAATCTCTAAAAAATGAACATAAGGGTTATATAAGAAATATGAATCTTTGGTATCTTGTCCAAATGGCTGGTAAGGTATCCTTATTTTTTGCGAGGAATCTTGTTTAAGTACCTACTATTCAATGACAATCTCTTAAGAAAAATTATATATTTTTGAGGAACGTGTCGTCTGACCTTTACATTAAACCAGAAATCTCTGTCAAGACTGTAGCCCAACTGGTTTGTACTTATAACAAAGGATGAGAAAAGAAGCAATTACCATCAGACCAAAACTGTAGAAGGAGTAGCGCTTTAAAGGAATTTCACAGAAATTACTATTTTTACTAGTAATGGCAACCTTGTTCATTAAAATCAAAAACTGATGTACTATTTTATGTATCTAAGTGTAGTCTACTTGTGTGCCAAGTTATATCGAAATCAGACAAAAATTGTAGGACAAGTAGTGTTTCAAAGAAATTTCATAGAAAATTTTATTTTTAGTAAACATGGCAACACTGTTCATCGAAATCAAAAACCGATTAAATATCCTATGTATCTTATTGTAGTATATTTGTGTGCCAAGTTATATTGAAATCAGACAAAACTGTAGTAGGAGTAGCGTTTAAAAAAATGTTTACAGACAGACGGACAGCTAGACGGACGGGCGCATTACTATCGCAAAAGCTCTTCAATAGTCTCTGACCAGTAGAGCTAAAAGTTACTGTTTCCAATAATGCGATCCCTACTTTTACTTCAAAAGATGTTTTTTTTTTATTTTTGCACAGAAAGATACTAACATATATGGCGTATAAGATCATATTACCAAATTGACATGGGTAATTTAAATAAAATGGATATATGCTAATCCGAATATCCTCTATTTTTCCTAAATTTTTAGGATTTATTAGTTATTTCTATTATGCTTCCTATACATGTGTTTAAATTTTTCCAATTTTCACATATAGTAAAGTTGGAACATAAAGGTACAAAATGATACAAAAACTAACCGTTTTGATCGTTTACTAAGACTTTTTACGGATTTTTGGCTCAAATCTGTACTTGGATTTGAAGCATTTAAAAGCAAACTCAATGTTCTAAAATAATTTTGAGTGGCAGAAAAGAAGATATTTAAATTTCATACGCCACCATTAAGCCAAAAATATAGTCCCTGCTAGTTTTCAAACGCAGTTTACCATTTCTATTTCAAGTTGTATAATTGTGTATAATTGTGATGAAGAAAGAAAAATATGGTCTTTTAAACCTCTTACATCTAAATATATGACATATCAACAAATATACTTTGAATATTCCATCTAGTAAGAAACCAGAGAAGAATCCTTCGTAAGTTAAATACTAGTATTTCTTTATTGTTTTTGGGAAGATTGGGGATTTTTTATTCTCAATTTAAGGCCTTCCTCTATACTTGGAAAATTTTCCCACAGACGTGCTTTATATGCAAATTACGTTTCTTTTTAGCATCTAAATTACAAGTGGTACCCAGGGTCTTAAAGTAACTATTTCCAATCAAAGTATTGTTTTTTTATAACAATAAAAAATGAAAATAAAATAAATGTCATTGCAATAAAAAATCTAGCTCGTGCTTATTTTTGCCAACTAGACAGCTCACTGAAAGACTTCTGTGTTTCTTTCGTTCCTTGTATTTGTGCTACTTTTTAGCTCACCTGAGCCGAAGGCTAAAGTGAGCTTTTCTGATCAAAATTTGTCCGTTGTCTGTCGTCGTCGTCGTCGTTGTCGTCGTTAACTTTTCATATATTTATCTTCTTCTCAAGAACCACTGGGCCAATTTCAACTAAACTTGGCACAAAGTATCCTTGGTTCAAGGGGATTCAAGTTTGTTCAAATGAAGGGCCAAGCCCTCATCCAAGGAGAGATATTTATGAATTAATGAAAAATTAATAGTATTTTTAAAAAATCTTCTTCTCAAGAACCACTGGGCTAGGAAAGATGAAACTCATGTGGAATCATCCTCAGGTAGTGTAAATTCAAGTTTATTCAAATCATGATCCCGGGGCTAGGGTGGGGCCAAAATGGCTAACCAAAGTTTTACATAGGAATATATAGGAAAAATCTTTAAAAATCTTCTTCTCAAGAACCACTGGGCCAGGAAAGATGAAACTCATGTGGAATTATCCTCAGGTAGTGTAGATTCAAGTTTCTTCAAATCATGACCCCCTGGCTAGATTGGGAGCAAAATGGCCGACCAAAGTTTTACATAGGAATATATAGGAAAAATCTTTAAAAAAATCTTCTTCTCAAGAACCACTGGGCCAGGAAAAATGAAACTCATGTGGAATCATCCTCAGGTAGTGTAGATTCAAGTTTGTTCAAATCATGACCTACGGGGCTAGGGTGGGGCCAAAATGGCTAACCAAAGTTTTACATAGAAATATATAGGAAAAAAATTTTAAAATCTTCTTCTCAAGAACCACTGGGCCAGGAAAGATGAAACTTATGTGAAATCATCCTCAGTTAGTGTAGATTCAAGCATTTTTAAATCATAAACCCTGGGGCTAGGGTGGGCCCAAAATGGCTGACCAAAGTTTTACATAGGGATATAGAGGGACACCTTTTAAAATCTTCTTTTCAAGTACTTCAAAGCCATAATTAGTGATATTTTTCTATTTATATGGAAACATCCAGATGTAGTGTAGATTCTACTTTTTTCAAATCATGACACCCAGGGGTGTTAACCCCCCCCCCCCCCCAGTAAACTTTCAGTTTTTATCTGATATGTGCTTTTTCCTAGTCGATGTGCGCAGGTAAGCGATGAGGCCCCTGGGCCTCTTGTTATGTATAGAATCAGATGAGCTATTGACCATGTGGAATCGATTTAACATCTAATTATGTAGCGCCAAGAATACCATATGCCTTAAATACCAAGAGTCCAAGGATATCAAAGTTTTGTACTTTATGTTTAGAATAATTAGAAACAATAATGTCTTATATTATTCAAAAGTTGTTAATTCTATTCCTAACCAGAAAGATTTCAATCTGTCTTCACTGCAATTGTCAGTAAAGAATGATCTATTTCGGTATACATGTACCATTATACTCGCCTGTTAGTCGTTTCTGCTTAATATAAGTCTGAAATTTAGACAGTTTTTTTTTCACTTATGGCTGATGTTAGATAGCGGACATGTCCCTAACAAAAAAAAATACTATAGAAAACTTCATAGTTTACTATAGTTTAATATAATTAACTAGAGAAGCAAAGTGAAAACTTTGGAACTTTGATTTGCTAAAGTGAAAACTTTGGAAAGTCGCTAACCACTGTCAAAATGTACGATCCTCTCCCAATCTGGCCGCAGTTGCATGAGACAAGATTATTTTGTAGCTCATTAAAGTCTTCACCAATGCAAGTAAAGCATAGTCGGACCTTTCATGCTACCTTTCAATACCCATTTGCAGTGAACGAAATACTTCTGATGAATACCAGTATTAATAGAGAGGGTCTCTCTTGTACCGAAAAAAGAACTATATTCATTTAAATCTATTTCATTTTAATATTAGTCAGATGTAAACTTAGTCTTATATATCGAAAGAAAAAAAAATATACTACAAATGAAATATGCGTGATTTAGAATTAAAAAAAAATACAGCTTCTTCAACCTCAGTCAATATGTATATTGTATTTTGATAAATACTAGAATTCAAAATTGATTCTAAAATAATCATGCTTCAGTGATGTATTCAAGTAACACGGCTCACTATGAAAGCATAAATGAACCGTTTTCTCAACACAATATATATTATTCTATGTATTACATGTACTTGTAT